AAAAAAAAAAAAAAAAAAAAAAAAAAAAAAAAAAAAAAAAAGAAAGAAAGAAAAGAAAAAATGCAAATTTTAAAAAAGAAAATGATTTTAGGTAATTGCTTAAAGCATAAAATAAAAAATGTGTGGTCCCAGTGTCAACTGAATAGAAGACCTAGAATAAGTTATAATTAGCACAAAAAGTTGTAGCACTTGAGAGCAGGAATCTTAGATACAGTAGTTCTCAAGGGTACATAATTTATGGAGGGATGGGGGAGTGGTGTGTTAAAATGCAGATTCCCAGGCTCACTGTCCAGAAAGTTGGATTCAGTAGATCCAGGGTTAGCTAGCTGGTTAGCTCAGTTGGTTAGAGTGTACCCTTGTAATACCAAGGTCATGAGTTCTGATTCCATCCAGGAATCTGCATTTCAAAGATAATCTAGTCCAATCCTATAATACTACAACTGAGAAAACTATGTTAAGTAATCTATCTGCCCAGAACCACACAGAATCTCAGTCTCACTAACACGGGACAGTGGTCTTCCCACTAAACCACTTATACTACTTTTTACTTTGAAGGAATTGGGACAAAGAAAGAATATGTTACTAATATGCCATTTGAGTCAGCGAGCAATCCTAGAATATTTCCTGGCCCCAATTCCTTTTTATTATTCATTTACCAAGTATTTATTAAACATCTTCTATTGCTATGTGCATAGCAATATGGTAGATTACAAAACTATTTAAAATATGAACCCTATCCTCTAGAAGCAATTATCAGCTGGGAAGACAAGGCAAACACATAAAACTGATATTCAACAGCAAGGCAATAATGAGTAGGTGCCAAAATAAGTGGTATGGCCAATCATAAAATTACCTGATTTACACTGACTTCACTCCATTCCTTATATAATTAGAATTTACCTATCAGAGATCAATATTCAATTTTTTCTCTTTCACTGTTAAAAAAAATTAGCCTTTAATAAAGGAAAGATGTTATCTTTGTGTGGAATAGACACCTCTCTCCCAACATTACGTACACATACCAATACCAAATACCACTACCACCACATCATTCCACACACCAGGATAGCTTTTGTAGACACCAAAGTTGGTATAATTTTAATGCAAAGTCATAATTAAAAGCATGGCCCTGTTCAAATGGTAAGAAAAGCCCCCCTCCTCCACCATCTTCCTAATCATATATGGTAGACTGAGGGTTTCAATTCTTCATTCCCATGCAATAGTATAATATACCGATATATTACATTAGCCTCATTAAAAGCAAAGTACTTTGCTAGTCCTTGTCTTTGGGCTTGGCCATATGACTTGGTTGGACAATAGGATGTTAGAATAACAAATGTGCTGGTAGTATTGGGTTTGCCCCCTTGTAGTTCTGCCATTGCCATGACACAAGCTTCCCCAGATAGATGTCACCCCTTCCTCCAGGCTAGGCCCCAGAATGAGACATGTGAAGCAGAATAAATGTTTATTGTTGCATGCCTTTAAGATTTTGTGGTTGCCAATTATTATGCAGCAAAAGGTAACTACATCACCGTATTTTAAAAATCCAAACCATCAGGAATGATGATATAAAGGACTGACGAGTAAGACTCTTTTGAGTTTTAAGGTTTTTTTAAAAAAAAGTGTAGGTTCCAGAGAGATCCATTCAGTAAATCTAGATTGCAGGGCCAGAAACATACATTTTATCAAGAACTCCAGGTAATTCTGTTACAGTGCCCACACTGAGAAACACTAAAATGAAGATTACTAAACTTCCAATTCCTCAGCAATATTCATTAACCGCTCAAGAACTCTAACTAGATGAATCTCACTTTAGACAATGTGTGTGTTCCTAAAAAGATGCATGCAAAATTGAAATCTAATCAAGTAAATTATTTAAATGCATTACAGAAACTGATGCTTAAATAATACCTGTGTTGTATTCTTTTATTAAAATAAAGAATTTATAAAACAAGCAAGCACATTTTATTTTTCACAAGTTCTAATTTTTTTGCATCCCCAACTGTTCTTAGAATTAAGGAGTCCAAGAACTACAGTAAGTAGGAAAGAAAGATTCAAAAGAAATAATTTTCCATGACCCCAAAGAGAGATGTGCTCTTACAGTATGTTTTTTCAGTCTTCCACTGTTTTTTTTTTTTTTTCCCTGTTCAGCTGCACTATTTGCACCTGTCTATTTACATCACTGCATCCATCTATTTATCCCAAATCCATGCAGGCCTCCTCTAATCAACTTGCACTTAATGCAACTGCACTAGCCACTGCAATATTAGGCAAAGCAAAAGTTTCACACATTCAGAACCATGACATTTGCATAAGCAGTGCTGTACTGATATTCTGTAAGTGTCTCTGTTTCTTTTCAAAGGCTGATCTAGTGAAGACGCTACTCTATTTCACGTGAGAAGAAGTTGCTGCTGCTGCTGTTGCTGTTAAAACCATTAATGTGGTAGGCTATGATCCTGGCTCCATAATTTACTGTGTTATTTAAATTCTCTGTACTTTACTCTCCCTCTTTGTAAAAGGGGAATAATAATAACCTACATAGTATAGAATTGTCATGAGGATCAAAAGAGAAAATTTATTTAAAGCTATTTGAATAGTTACTGGTGCCTAGCAAGCACTCAATAAATACTAGCTATCATTACTGCTGTTACAGCTCTCAAATCTGGCTTCACAAATTTTGTCATCTGGTGCTATGTAATACTAAAGAAAAAAAGAAGACTAAAGCCACTTTTAAGCATTGATTCTTTTCATCCATCCCTTTTAAAGTACACTATTCTAAGAATATTTTACTTCCCAAATAGAAATTAAGTTTATTTTTAAATCAATATTTTTTTCTTTTATAAGTTCTGATCACAAAATCATAAATATGTCACTATAAATGAGAATCTACATTCTAAAAATATCAGTAACAACAAAGAACATTGAAAAGTTTATGTTCTGAGATTTCTACTCACAGAATGACTGCTTAAGCTTGAGGTCTTTTACTCTCTTCAGATTTCACAGGAACCACATGACTTACAGCTAAAGAATTTAAATAGCTAACACAATATGAAGAAATTTGGAGAAAAATTGTTCATTTATACCCCCAAAGGAAGTGCAATGATTAAAAATATTAAAATATGAGTTTCAAAATACATTCAATTCAGAAGTTCAAATTATTTTAACACAACTATATAAATTTATCATAAAAATAATAATCAACAATACATTAATCAACGATATCAAAAGCACAACAGAAAACATCAAATTTTCTTTCTGTATTTTCCCAATGCAGACTTTTAAAATGAAAATGAGCAAATAACCTGTGTCTAACATAGCAATGAGAAATTTATTAAATGTGAAAATTACATACCTATAAAAAGAAAAAAGTATTTGGAAAGCCATCATTTTGTCCTTTACTCGTTTTTACTTTATTTTGGGGGGCAGCTGGTTGGTACAAGGATTGAACCCTGGACCTTGGTGTTATCAGCATCATGCTCTTACCAACAGAGCTAAATGGCCAGCCCTTTACTCGTTCTTAAACGCATAACCCATTTGGCCATCCTAAATAGAATTTAAGAATTATATGTACAATTCACTCCTGAAAATTTCTAAAAGCAAATTACCAAAAGACTGCTTGAAAAATAATTGCAAGAGGAACATGAGGTTTTTTCCCTAAGGTGTCTGGGAACGAAAAAGAAAATATGTGATGAAAAAGATGACTACCATTTTCCCCTGCGCTTTAGTAAAATGTCAAAGAACTTTCAAGTCTGATGTCAGGTCAAAGTTGTCTCAATGACAGGAAAGCCAATAGATGCCAGACGGCTCATAGTAAAGTTACCAAAATACTTCTAGGCCAACAATAATTCCAAAAGCATATAAAATACGACTGTTAAGGTTCAAAAGATGGAGCTGTAATTACTAAATACTTGGTAACAAAATTACTACTGCTACTACTAATAAACGGTATTATACAATGTATCAAGAATCTCACAGTTCTGGCTTCCTCAACATTTATTCTATTCATTCGGTAACATTCTTGCATAACGAAAGTAACATGGATTCCCAAAGAGTGATTTAAATCTAAAAATAAGGTTCAAGAGTGTTTTCTCTAGTTGATGTTCTTTCTACTATAAGCCAAAACCGCTTCTTTATATTAAAGAAAAAAACCTACAGCTGTTTCCAGAGATCTCATAATAAATACTGTTCGCTGATGATTAAAATATTATTTTTAATCCTTGCATTACCTCACAGCTAAAAATGTCAAGATACCACACCCAACATGTCTTTTTTCCCCAGTGGAGCGGGGGTGTGGATGGGGAATATGGGGGTGGGGATAAGAAACTACACAAAAACATTATAGGTGATTTCCCTGGAAGGAATGGGAAAGGCGCGCAGGGACCGGTTCCACAGTGATCCGAGGGGACGCGTCGCGAGCGGCGAGCGCAGGCCTCGGCCTCTGCGGGATCCCTCCCTCGCCACCGCAGGGGAAGTGGCCCGGACGCGCCACCCGAGGCTACTCACCGGCTGCAGTGCTGACCAGCACACCGGCCCACAGTAGCCAGGGCATCCGCCAGGGCCGCCGCAGCGAGGAATTCATCCCTGGGTCAGCCAAGAAGCGGGAGGCAAAGAAAAGAAATATGGAAAGTAAATACTGGCGGAGAAACACGGCCAGGAGGTTTGTCTTCTCTCTCGCCGGACTTATCCTGCCCGTATTACAACGCAGTTTGAAAGGACAAATGGCAGATGAGAGGACCTAGCTGCAGAGCTTTCATTCCGCTGCAGAAATTCCCTTCATTTCTCTCCTTCGCGGCTGGGGGGGTTCCTTCGCCGAGGACGGGGTGCCTTAGCCCCCCAAACTGAAGGCATGTCCGTGGGGGAGAGCCGGGAGCCAAGAAGAAACCGCCGCAGTTATTTCCCTCGTAGTTTCACGATATCAAAAAAATATCCAGGTCTGGGAGAAAACATAGCCGGGGTGCAGACGGGTTGGAGGGCGGGGAGTCGACTGGGTGGGGGGGCGAGGATCAGAACAAGTTCCCGACCGCCGGGAAGGTCGAAGCCGGGTGGGCGGCGGCGGCGGCGGTTCCCGGAGGCCCGAGTCGCATCGCCCGCGGCTCCAGGAGTCCTTTTAAAGTTTCGCTTCGATGCTTCCTTCACTCGGGTTTCGAGAACAAATCCTCTTCCTCGACTGGATCGAAAAAGGTGCCGGCCTCCATGGACAAGCCTACAGCCTTCACGGAATAATCGTGCGAGGGTCGGCAGACCCGGCAGAGGGCTGAGGGGCGGCGGGCTGCGGGGGAGGGGAGGAGTCGGCAGGCAGGGCCCGGAGCTCCCCGCGACAGCGGACGGAGGGGAGGCGCGGGAGGCTATCCCTTCCAGCCCTCACGGGCGCGCTCCTCTCTTTCTCGCTCTCTTTTATTCCTGCCGCTCGATCTTGCCTGAGGTAAATTCCACCATGAAAGCCTCGTCTTCTCCAGTGAATGGCTCCTGTGAGCGAATCACAAGCCCCGGAGGAAGCCGCCGCCGCCGCCGCCCCGTTCTCCCACAGCTCTGGGCTCCGGGCGGAGCCCGGGCGTCGCAGGCCGAGGGCGGGGGGCGGCGGGAGGGCGGATGTAGGTGGCTCGGAAGGGGGTAGGCAGCGAGACACCCTGCGCCCCTCCGGGAAGCACTTCCAGCGGCTCCGAACAGACCAGACACAAAGAGGGGAGCCGCCGCAGCTGCCAGT